GGTGTAGAATACTTTAAGCTTTCATATGGTCATTACTTTATGGGGGGTATTGGTTAATAAGTTTTAGAGAGGTTCACAAAAAACCATTTTATAGAAATTTTAACAGTCATGAAGAATTTATGTAGATGGGATTCAGCAAAAACTAAATGTATTTTATTAGTGATTGTTTTATATTCTGACTTTATATTGATTAAAGTTTCATTAATAATTATTATGAATATCCATCAATCAGTAGTTGTTATAGAAACATTAAACAATAATATGCAAATGACGACAACGAATCATCTTTTTTGAGGATAATAATAAAGATTAAGATCCAGTTTGTATAGGAGTGATCGAAGTAAACGTTAAGGACAAGATTTATGAACAAAACATACTAACGAACTTTTATCAATTATTCAATAGTTTGTGTAGGTGTAATCGAAGTAAGCATTAAGGACAAGATCTATGAACAAAATATACTAACAAAACGTTTTATCAATTATTAAATAGTTTGTATAGGAATGATTGAAGTAAGCGTTAAGGACAAGATTTATGAACAAAATATACTAATGAACCTTTTATCAACTATTCAATAGTTGTATAGGAGTGATCGAAGTGAGCATTAAGGACAAGATCTATGAACAAAACATACAAACATTTTATCAATTATTCAATAGTTTGTATAGGAGTGGTGAAGTAAGCAATAAGGACAAGATCTATGAACAAAATATACTAACGAACATTTTATCAACTATTCAATAGTTTGTATAGGAGTGATTGAAGTAAGCAATAAGGACAAGATCTATGAACAAAACATACTAACGAATGTTTTACCAACTATTCAATAGTTTGTATAGGAGTGATTGAAGTAAGCAATAAGGACAAGATCTATGAACAAAATATACTAACAAACGTTTTATCAACTATTCAATAGTTGTATAGGAGTGATCGAAGTAAGCATCAAGGACAAGATCTATGAACAAAACATACTAACACATGTTTTATCAATTATTCAATATCGAAGTAAGCATTAAGGACAAGATCTATGAACAAATCATACTAACGAATGTTTTATCAACTATTAAATAGTTGTGTAGGAGTGAACAAATTTTCAACTTTCAATAAATTGAAGAATGTCATTTTTTTTTAAATTAAATAACGAGGAAAAATTCAAAAATGACCACACACAGTCTTCACCTAAAGCAGGTTCTTGGATAAATTTGGCTTTAATTAAACATTTTCTTGAAAACTCCTCCTGCCAGTTTCAACAATGCTAAATCCTTTTTAAATGTCAGACTTTTAAAAACTTTGCACAGAATTTTCCTCTATTGAATTTATTATTATTATTACTACTAAATGTCCGTTTTATAATCTCCAGCCAGAATTTGAAAGACTAGCTAGCTACCTATGCGTACGTTATCAGATCCCAATTGTATGTTATTATTATTTGGTACATTATTTAGAATCTACACATACACAATTACAGTGCAATTTATAAGGTCACATAATAATAAAGCTATGATGTTTTCTTTTAATTGTTAGGATAATTGCTTTGTCTTTTTTTTTTTTGAAGATAAACTTTTACTGTTTGCCCCCATTGAGTCAAGCATCATTGAGTTCCAAACTCAAATAATGAATGACTAAAAATCTCTTCAAGTAGGTCATATAGGCGGTGGAAGGAAGCTGTTGTGTTTTCAGAATCACATCAGTTAAAGGAAACATTTCGTCACACAACCTTGAATTAAATCAAATCAAATTATTCATTAATTCATTAATTTCATATTTTATCGATCAATTAATATTAGTTGGGTTTAAATTATAAAAATAAAATAATCAGTCTTGTCCATTTGATGAAGGTAATATAATTCAAAATTAGATTGGACTTTGCGCATTTGTAAGGAACAATTTAATTACTATTTTATTGGAAAGTTTGTCTTCAGAATTGACGACATTTCTTCTACCTGTCTAAAAAATAAATAAATTCTATTTTTGGTCAATGTAAATTTTTCTATCCGTTTGCCTCATTAGGCACTTAAAAATAATTAAAGACCATTTCTGTAATTTCCAGGAAAATTTTTTTATTTTCTCTTTTATTTTCAGTATACAAAAACAAAGCGAACAATGATTATTATATAGCCTTTTTTATCAAAATAAAGTTTGCTTTACTGCATAGTAGTAACATAAATAATTCCAAAAAAGAAAATGATTCTCTGATTTTCAGAGTTATTAATATATTAATATATACTAATTAATACTTATTGATTGAAAATACACCGTCTATAAAATAAGTCTGAGTGAAACTTTATCCTATTATTCGATATGAACAAAGGATCTCTATTCAACCAAAGCAAGAAAGTAATCTTGACTTTGTTTTCATTCATTCCGCTCGCGACTGCATCAATTGTAAACGAAAATTATGAATCTGAACAGGATGTGTACGATGCGATTATTAACACATTCTTTCCGGTATTTTTGTCATCTTGTCTAATGTTTCAGGGGAATCTGGACGTATAAAAAATGTGCTGTTGCCAGTACTGGATGACTTATTATACAACACAGTCACTTGGGTGATTCCGCTGGTAGTTTCTTTGGCCTACGATGATTTGCCGAGTATTAAGATATTTTCATTTATAAACATGGGTTTGCATCTAATTTGCGCAGTAGTCGCGATAATTGAGCATAAAAAAGTTAAAGATATTGTTGAAGATCAATCTGATCCTTTTTTATATATCTGGATATTCCTGATATTTATCCCAGCGGTAATAATTCCAACATTCTGGATTGTTGTTATTACAACTAGAAATCTTTTTGATACAATTAATATAGTATTCCTTACATCATTTGGGATATTGTCAATTACAGCATTAATTGCTATTATACTATTTTGTCTTGCGGTGTGTGGCTCAAGAAGATCGGCACAAGTATTTTATTCGATGATTGTTCCTACTATATTTTTCCCTGGATGGTTTTATCTCCCGAATATTCTGCAAACATTATTTATTGTGTTAAAATGGCCAATCAATTTTTACTTTGTCAAAGCATGCGTATTTATACTGGTTCTCTCTTTAACAAGAAATGTATCCTTCTTTACAGAGAAGGAGCCAGCACCTGGTGACTTTCTGGCTACTTCAACAACAGTGACTCAATGTAAGCTGCGTGAATTTATAGATGAAGAGCTAGAGGAGGATGAAGAAAATCAAAGAATGGATGAAGGTCCAATAGATGAAAATGAAAGGGATAGAATAATCAGAGAGATGCAAAAATCAATGGCTGTAATGGAAGGAAAAATAGCGAAATTGTATGGAAAGGCGCAATTCGACGAGCCACAATAATAATTGGTTTGGTTCTTTTTCTTTTTATTGTAAGCATTTTATCGACAATGTTTTTACTGTGATTATTATTTTGATGTAAAGGTGCTGTTGCTAGTGATTTTGCCACCACAGTATGTTTATTTTTTATTTATTTACTACACTTCGGGTTCAAACTATCATTTCTCCAAAAAAATTGTAAAGAACATTTTATTTATTACCTTTTTCATTTTTTTATTTAAAGCATTAAAAAATTTTTCACTAAAGTATGAATTTGAACATTGTGGTGAATATAAGTTTCATACCCCTTTAATAATGTTCACTTATATCACGATATAGCGGAGGTTTGTTATACCTGCTTGCATCACCATTGTATCTAGCGCTGACGCTGTAATTCGAAATACCATTATTAATATCATTCATTATATGCCGAAGGTTGTTCCAAGCCTTTTAATTTCATAGTAATAGTATTTTATCTTCAGCCATGCGTAAATACAGCTATTGTTGTGTATATTTAAAAATGTAATTTGGAGGAATTGGCAATGCCGACCAAACTTGAAAAATTACTGCAGGTTTTTTAATTAGTCGAATTTTATAACTGGGAAACATGTGCTTGAACCGAATTTATGTGTGCTTGACTTTGTTCAAGCTTAGACTGGACCTAGAAACACCATGCATGTCCCGATTCAAATGCTAATTAATCTTCATTTGTCTAAAATCTAGCCTTCATATTTTATTGAACACGACGTATTTCATTTTTATTTAAAAGTACACGTGACTTTTTAATTCAAAATCGCGTGTCCCAAAATTGGTCTATTTTATGGATCCCAGTCACACGATAGTAATAGATTTTTAGATTTTATTTGCTTGTTCATTATCACTTCTTTTATTTTCCTACTTTGTTTTTAATCCGATAAGACTTGTATATTCCACTTATAAGGTAACGTTACTACTACTATATAACACTATTATTATGAATAAATTGTTTCTAAGCTGTTTATTTAAAAATGCCTGCATTTTTAAAGATCTTGTGGCAATTATCTACTTGATTGCTCCTAATATTTAGAGTTTACATAATGTCAAATATAATATATATTTATATGCTTGTATTTATTTGTTTAAAAAATTTTTTTTTACTATTAATAATATTTATAATAGAAAAAAAAAAAGTAAAAACTTGAGATAAAAATGTCTACTGATGATGATCAATGCGCAGGGCAATGGGGTCCTAGATCCGAACCAACTCTAGATCCAAACCGTCAATGGGCAGCAGTCCGTAGACGTTACGAATGGCACGAATCATATAATGAAACTATAGCTCCTAAAGATGAGGAGTTGGAAAAGGAGCTTTTTGATGAAGAAAATCATATTCATACTGGTATTAATTTTTCAAAATATGAAAAGATTAAGGTGACAGTCAGTAATCCGACCGTTAAACCTATTAGCACGGTAATTATTTTTCTTTTAAAAATTTTTGTAATTAATTAATTAATTATTATTTATTCATTCATCAATTTACTCGTTCATTTATTGTAGTTTGAAGAAGCAAAACTTCATCAAGCGATGAAGGAAAATGTTCAATTGGCTAGATACACTATGCCAACTCCAGTTCAGGTATAAATTTATTTTGTTATCAATAATTAAAAAAAAAAAAATAAAAAAAAAGTCTTGGAGATAATTGTTTGATAAAAATTTTTTTCCCAAAAAGAAATATTCTATTCCAATAATTACTAATGGAATGGATCTAATGGCTTGTGCACAAACTGGTATTTATTTATATAATTTGTCAAGAGATTAATTTTTTTCTTGCCAAACAAATTACAATAACAAATAATCTATATTAAATTGAATAGGTTCTGGTAAAACCGCTGCATTTCTGATTCCAGTATTATCACAAGTATTTGCAACTAAAAAACCCCCCAGAGAAATTGGAAATTCACGTAGATTTAAAGCTGAACCTTTAGTACTAATAATGGCACCTACACGTGAATTGGCCACACAAATATTTGATGAGTGTCGTCGGTTTACTTATAGGAGTATGATGAGGCCTTGGTTTGTGATTTTTCTCTTTTCCTCCCTCTCAAAAAAATTAAACATTATCCATGTGTATGCATGTATGTATGTACTTATATGATCATGATGATGATTATCATCATTGTTACTATTATTACTATTCAGTGTAGTTTATGGGGGTGCAGATGCTTTATCTCAAAAAACTGAAGTTGCTAAAGGTTGTGATATATTAACCGCCACGCCTGGTAGATTAAAGGATTTTATGGAACGTGGTGTTTTGAGTCTTCGTAAAGTTAGGTGAGTAACGAATGATTTTTTATTTTTTATTTAAGCAAGTAAATCATTTTAATAAAATTCTTTATTTACATTTCATAGGTATCTTGTACTTGATGAGGCTGATCGTATGTTGGATATGGGTTTTGAAGCAGACATTCGTAAAATTGTTCAACAATCTGGTAATTAATTACTTGATCAATCAATAAATCAATCAATCAATTGTTTTAAGTACTTTGATTACCACACACGCAAACCAAAATATTATTTTCTTATGTATTTTTTTTATTTAGATCTTCCCAATGATGGCTCAAGACAAACAATGATGTTTTCAGCCACTTTTCCAACAAATATTCGAACCCTTGCTCGTGATTTCTTGAAAGAAGATCACATATTCCTCACAGTTGGTCGTGTTGGTGGTACAACAAGTGATATCACTCAAAAGGTAACCATTGATTAAATATTTGTTTATCTATTATTATTATTATATCTTCATCATTAATATCATTCAAAATTCCATTTCTCAAAAATAATCATTAATTATTATTCTCTATGATAGATAATGTATGTCGAAGAAAACGATAAACGTACAGCACTTGTTGAACTACTTTTAAAACAGCCACCATCTCGTACTTTGATTTTTGTTGAAACAAAACGTGGTGCAGATTCACTTGATGATTTCTTATATCATCAAAATTTTCCTACTACTAGTATTCATGGAGATAGATCACAACGTGAAAGAGAAGATGCATTAATAGCATTCAAGTAAAGATTTGATAATTAATTAATTAATAATTAATTTGTTTCTTATTTTTGGTTTTTATACCTAAATTTTAATCATAATTATCATAACTAAATAATAGAAATGGTCGATCACCCATTTTAATTGCTACAGCTGTTGCAGCTCGTGGTCTTGATATAAAAAATGTAATGCATGTCGTAAATTATGATTTATGTAATGACATTGATGAATATGTTCACCGAATTGGAAGGTTTGTATTTATTTAATCATATAAACATATATATTTATATATTTATATACATGTGGTTAAATTTTATCTAGAACGGCTCGAGTTGGTAATGAGGGATTGGCAACAACTTTTTATAATGAAAAAAGATCTGAACTTGCCGGTGATTTAGTTAAATTATTGTTGGAATGTAAACAAGAGATTCCCAGTTTTCTACAACCATATTCACACATTAATATGTGAGTACTTAACGTATAAATATAAATAATCAAATTATAATAATTGTTATTCTATAACAGACATATTTATTTAATAATGATATAGCAATCCTGACAAGAATACAAATGGTGGTAATAGGGGTTACAGGAATCAAAATAACAGATACAGCAATAATGATTCATCAGGAGATTGGGAGGCTCAACGAAATACCGCATCATCAAGTGATAATAACAGTAGCAGTACATGGGACAATCCACAAATCACACAAGACAAAATAAAGCCAATGTGGGATTCTAATGCCAATGATACATCAACAACTGTAACTGAATCCCCTTGGGATACATCAACAACAGTAACTGAATCCTCTTGGGATCCAAATTCTACTCCATGGTAATCAATAACATCAAAGAAAAATAATGATGAAATCAAGTTTTTATAATCAATTAATTGATGTATTTGATTTGAAATCGTTTTCTATTTTATTTTAGAAATGATTATATACAACGAACATTGAATATATATCTTATTAATAGTAGTAATAGTAATCATTTTCTAAATTAGTATTATTATGTTCTCTTTATTTTATTTTGTAATACATTTACATATCATATGGGGTAGTGAACATTATTAAACATTACAATCAAAAAAAATCTTTAGTCACACAACTATACTGCGATCATGATATTAAAGTTCTTTTATCTTTCTTTCTGCTTATCCATAAGACTATTCCTCTATAAAACGTAATTAATTAATGTTGTCATTGCGTTATATTATATGCTCACAAAAAAATTTTGATTACTAACCTGCTGACTAACCATAATATTTTGATTTATTTATTAGTTCTGAAGTAGGGAGAAAAGAAAAGTAATATATATAAACTTACATAAAAACAATTATGATGGTGATAAAGCAAATGACAACTATATTCTTACCACAAAAACAATATCAAAGAAGCTGATGAAGGGTTTTAATGCAATAACCTCAAACATCCAATCTTTTGTTTCCAGTTATAAATTTTCACCAAGGCATGTAAAAAAATGTGAAAATTTATCGCGGAAAAAAAAAACGGAAATATCAACAAGCTGATGATGTTGTTGTTGATGGTAATAATATCTTACACATTGCATTTGAACTTTGTAAAACCTCTTTGCATGATCTTATTGAAGGAGGATTTATATTTAAACATCAACATATGCACCTTCAAAGATGTTGTATCAAATAATTTCTGGTATACAGTCACAGCGGATACATGGGACCAGCAAAAAAATATAAAAGTTTTAAAAAAATAATGATAAATAGATACATGTGGAAATAAAATTATTTATTGAAATATTTGGCTGTATTAGTCTTTCGTTGCTTAATAATAATGTTATCTTTATAATTTATTTTTATATCACCTTGTTGAAGAAATAAAAAGCTGTCTCAATGGCGAAACTTTAGGTGTAGTATTACTCTCAACAATTCTTCCTCTTCAGTTGGATTAAAAGAGGCAATTGTTTCTTCCTCTGTTGTTATTTCATCATTTATTTACAAGTTGTCAATGGTTAATATATACTTATGCTCCTAATGTAGCAGTAAATGATAATTGATTGATCATCATCACTAGTTTCATCCCTTTCTGCATTTGAAATTTCTTCAGCGAATATTCAATTTCATTATCAAATGTTTCATTTGAATCCCTATATAAAGAAAGGGAGAACAATTTGTTAAATCTGGCATCGATCCTATCCTTGCATAGACGATTTATTTTTTTCTCCAATCAGATCCTTGCTCGTCTGTGTGAGTGACTAATCGAGAAATCTTGGTAAAAGGTAACTCTCGCTTAACCGAGTCAAGCATCAAAAGAACCTGCTGCATTGCCTCCTTCGAGTTTGAGATGATTCGGCCCATTTTTTCCCTAAAAAATATAAATTGGTTGTTATACCGTTATATAAAAAGGCCACAAAGCATTTCAAAGCAATCTAACATGCGCGTTTGATATTCAACTTGTTGTAATTAAGTAGACTGCATGAATCACATAAGAGCTTTCACTATACTCGCTTTCGCCTAGAAATGGCCTCAATTTCTCCTACAAATTAAGCGATGAGTAATTTTAACTGAGGCAACGCAAGTATGATTAATGATATTATTCCACTTTCAATCCTTCCAACAAGTCGCATGTCGTTAGTAAAATTCTACGAGCATTTGAATCATTTTCATCTCGCGGAAAAGTAATGGGAGGTTGACAAGGACCGGGTTAAAATCGTGTCCCATTAAGTTGTATGTGTTAGAAAATTCAATTAACGTGGCATTCGTTTTCTCCGAAGCTCCCGACTCGCTCACTTAATTCAACTTCGCCAAGCAATTGTTTCGTTCCCACTGGTAACCTATCAGCCATCCCATCCACCTTTTCAGCAATATCCAAAATCTCAGATGCTATCGGATCATTTGATTCAATACAAGTCAAATCTAGCGGTTCTGAACACCCGCGGACTTACTAATACAAAAGATAGTGCAAATATCTATTGCGCTCGCTCCATATATATATACCACGGACCAGTCAGTATATAATAATAAATTTCGCGTGTTACTAGAAAACATTAATAACATTCAAATTTGATTGGATAATTTCCAAATTTTGGGGTGGATGTTTGAATACAAAATTTTGATTGGCTAATTTGAATTTTCAAATTGACGCAGATTCCAAATTCTCGCACAACAAAAATAATATCGTAGTTTAAATATTATTGATTGATATGTTTTTGTAGTTTATTCATTTTCCACTTGAAAATAAATGAATAGACTTTATCAAGTGACTGATTTTAACGTCTTAAAGGTGCAATGCTTGTAATTGGTTTAAACAGCAATTATATTTTATCTTTATTAACGTAAAAATTAATTATTCAGTCGAATTTTTAAGATTTGAATAAAATAAATATAGTAAATAATTTGGCAATTCTCGACTACGGCAAACATCATGGGAATGTTGGACAAAATGAAGTATTTATGAGACACGAAACGCAGCAAATTACTCATATTATTAAAAAGAAATAATAATTTATTGTATATTAAGATATTTATATATAAATTATATATGTTGTATAATTAATTAGCATTTATTGATTGGCCATTTCTCTTGCAATATCTATTTATTAAAAGAAAATGTGATTAGAATCTCAATCAACAAAACCATTATTTTTTTAAATAAATTTACCTTCTCCCTTCTTCCTTGCATCATCAATATCACCAACCATATAAAACGCAGCTTCTGGTAAATCATCGCATTTTCCTTCCAAAATTTCTTTGAATGAGCGAATGGTATCTTTTAATTTAACAAGACGTCCTTCATAACCGGTGAAAACTTGTGCAACAGCAAATGGTTGACTCTACAATTGTATATATATAATATTATAATCAATGTATATATTATTGATTTGTAAATTATTATCTACTTACCAAAAATCTTTGAATTTTTCTTGCACGTTCAACGGTTTGCTAAATATTCAATATAAATAGATAAATAATCACTTAAAATCATTCCAACAAAAAAACCATTTTACACATGTAAAACACTTGCCTTATCTTCTTCTGATAATTCGTCCATACCCAAAATTGCGATAATATCTTGTAAAGATTTATAATCTTGGAGTATTTTTTGTACATCTGTGGCCACCCTATAATGTTCTTCACCTACCACTCTAGGATCCAATAGACGTGATTTTGAATCAAGTGGATCCACGGCTGGATAAATACCTAATTCGGCAATGGAACGTGATAATACAGTAGTTGCATCCAAATGACTAAATAAAAATTTGAATTTATATTATTATTATTATTATTATTATTATTAACCATGAATATAAAATTATATTATAGTTAGTAATATATTAATTTTATTATTGTTATTGTAGTTTTACCTGAAAGTAGTAGCTGGGGCTGGATCTGTTAAATCATCAGCAGGTACATACACAGCTTGTACAGAGGTAATAGATCCTTTCTTTGTTGTTGTAATTCTTTCCTGCATACCACCCATATCTTTTTAATTAAAAAATTTTTAATACTAATAAAAATATTAAAGTAATGATATAAAATTCATAAAAAAAATATGAATATGAATATGAATGTGTAATGAATTACCAGTACTAATTAAGAATTCATTGATTTATTTTATAGAATCAAAAATATTATTATTATTATTTAGTGAAAAAAAAACAATCAAATTATCAGCATCTAGAATCAAACTTACCTTAAAGTAGGTTGATAACCTACAGCTGAGGGAATACGACCCAACAAGGCAGATACTTCGGAACCGGCTTGAGTGAATCGGAAAATATTATCAACAAAAAGTAACACATCTTGGCCCTCATCATCACGGAAATATTCTGCAATAGTGACACCAGTTAATGCAACACGAGCTCTAGCTCCTGGTGGTTCATTCATTTGACCAAATACTAATGCAGCTTTTGATTCACCATCAAGTTTAATTACACCAGTTTGTATCATTTCATGATACAAATCATTTCCCTCACGTGTTCTCTCACCAACACCACAAAATACTGAATAACCACCATGAGCTTTTGCAATGTTGTTAATCAACTCCTGAATCAACACAGTTTTACCTACACCGGCACCACCAAACAATCCAATTTTTCCACCTCTAGCATAAGGAGCCAACAAGTCTACAACTTTAATACCAGTTTCAAGAATCTCGGGAGCTGTTGATTGATCTACAAATTCTGGTGCATCTGCATGAATAGCAGCAGTTTTTTTTGTCTTAATTGGACCTCGTTCATCAATTGGTTCTCCAATAACATTAATAATACGTCCTAGACATTCAGGTCCTACAGGAATTTTAATTGGTGAACCCGTGTCTAAAACTTTTTGACCACGTACAAGACCTGTTAGATAACCAAATGATTAATTTGTAAATTAATTAATAAGAATAATCGAAGATAATAATAATTAATTAATTTTAATTAAACGATAAATAATGATTGATGATAAAAAGATGGATTAGCCAACTATTAATTCATCAATCCAGCGATTTATTCATAAATTCGTCCACCCGTCCATTCACACATCAATTGATTGATTGATTATTACCTTCTGTACCATCCATAGCTATTGTTCTGACAACATTTTGACCAAGATGTTGAGCCACTTCAAGAACAAGACGATTACCATCTGGTTTTTGTACTTCCAACGAATTTAAAATTGGTGGTAGACTTTTCTCCTCGAATTGCACATCAACAACAGCACCAATCACAGCTTGAATTGTGCCAGCATTATTACTTGACTCGGTAGCATAATTACGACCTAATAAAAACAAATATTTATTTATTCATTCATTCGTTTTGATATTTTTTATTAAGATCAATATTTATTTTTTTTTCACATACAATAAAAGGTAGAGGGAATGTGAGTTGATGTTGTAGTTCTTAAAAAACTATTTCTATAAAAGTTTGTTGTACTTCTATTAATTGTCTTATGAGTATTACTATTACTACGTATTAGCCTAGACACTGAACGTTGAAGAAATGACATTGTGGTAAAAGAAAAGAAAAAGCTTTTTGAGAAGCCTTTTAATTATTGTTGTCGTTCGTTATATATGATAAAAAAAATTTTTATATATTTGTTAATCTTAAAATCTCGGAGCACAAAAATTTTCCAAATTAATCCACATTTTCGCGTCTATTGAATCTAAAATTTTATAACATAGAAAATACTTGACAAGTGAAAACATAAAAATATAACAAAATAAATAGATAGATCTTTGCGTTAGAACGTCCTTCAAGTTCCGCCACTACTATCCCTGTAGCTAATGGCAATGTTGCAAGTAAGTCACATTCTTAAATATCGAATTTTTAATTTTATCTTTTTTACAATAGGATAAAGAATCAAAAACTATCTGGTGGTAATGATATAGAATCTGAAATTAATGAATTGTTTAAAGTATATATAATTTATTTGTGTTATTGTAATGACATTTATTGGTAATTTCTGGCAAAGACAAGACAAAAAGTTGGGAACATACCTCGTTGATGGGTAATGATAAATTAAAAGTGTTGGGATTTTTTAATCTTGCAAAATTATGGAACAATTTTTATAAATTAAATATTGAATGGATTAATCAAGTTTAATTTATTATATATTTTTATATTTTTAATTAAAAATCAATTTACTATTTCATTCTTCTTACCCATTCAACTTGGCATTTTAAATAATTTCATCTACAAATTTTCTATTATCCTTGCATATGGAGGGTGGGAATTGACGGTTCATTGATCAGTCCATTAGACTTATTGGCACACCATATTAACTCATATTTAGTATTCTATATACAGATCAAATTACATCAGCTTCAACGGACCTGATCCATTGCTAACCCTGGCATATAGATATAATGTCGTCAAGTGCATTCGTGATGATAACATCATCAAATGAAAAATTCTGTTATTAATTTTGGTGATGACCACAAAATGAATAACCAATTATCAACTAGATTTGTCAATAATTCCATATATTCAAAGGCATCACCTATTTTTAATATTAAATTCAATCATTAAAGGATTTTTTTTTTAAATATATATATATATATATATATATGAAACTATACAAACCTTTGCTTGATTTAACAAAAGACATAAGTTCAAATAATAAATTTATTAAGCTTAACAATAAATACATGTAAATACAGATTCTTTATGGTTGACTATGTAAATACAAAAGTATACTTGTTGGTTATCCCAGGAATATTTTTAAAAGTTAATTATTAAAGAGTTGTTAAGCCCTCGTTCAATTTTCTTTTACAATCAAATGCTAAGCTTATTAAAGAACTCGGTTCTTCCAATAGAAATTGTAAACACTTGATATCATCAATACCATTGTTATCATTGTTATTTTTATTACTCGTGTTATGATCAAATTTACCATTAGCTGAATTCTTCTCTTCTAAAGTTTTATAGTTATTATTACATGTGTTAAGTATTTATTAACAAGCTTTGTGATTGAAAAAATAAAAACAAAAGAGCCAATAATCAAAATGTCTTTCTGATAAACTCATTCTTTGAGGGAGATTTGATTTAATTCCATGCTTTCTCTGTTTTTTCTTATTTACCATAAAATAATAGATGAATTTTTTAAAAGGGGAGGAGATATATATATAGGACCCGCGAACTTCATAGATAGGTTACTGCCGCAAGCTGGATCAAAAATTTTTGTATATATATATATAGTAATAGTGACTCCAGATGATCTTTACTATTTGGGAAAACACAACGCACGTGATCAGATCAAAAAATTTTTGTTGTGAAATAAAAAAAATTCACATGTGTTAGCTATAAATTTAAAAACCATTGCTATTATTATATTAATATGAAAATATTTTTTTTAATTACACGATTTCCGACCTTTTTGACTTGACTAACTAATTATTTATAAATAATACTGCACACGTAAAGTTGCCGGGTAAAATCTATTTGGGGATTTTTCAAAGCGTCAAAATCTTAATTAGGGATGTTGAAACGTTTCGATGACATCAAAACTTAAATAAACAAGTCAAAACGTTATTGATTTAACATTGAATTTTTAGCCCTTTCTATGAGAAAAATTAAACGCACTCCTATCTAACAAGACGAACCTTTATTCACTGATTTAAGGCCAACTTAATTTTACCAATTAAATAAATACAAACATATATTATTTTCATTGTCATTACATTTTCATTCATTTGTAATTAAATACACTCAACTCTCGTTTCAACGAATTATAATCTAAAGACAATGGGTAGGTAAGTAAATCTCGACTCTTTGGATATTGGTGGCAACCCAAACGACTCGATTATTTGGAAGAGGTAATTAAATCAATAGGACAAACGAAATTATATAAAAATCTTGAATGTTTATACATATTGGACAACAATAAAGTAGGTCAATAATTAACTAACCATTGAAATTGTAAAGAGTTACTTTTCAGAAAGAAAAAATTAATGTTTTTTCGAACTAATACTTTAATTATTGTAAAAATATAAGTAATCTTTATTATCCTAATTTATCTCTTAAATGGTCAAAGTATTCTTTAATTGTAACATAAAATAATTTTTCGATCACGATCTTGCATTATTATTGGCCAATTTAACGATCTGCAAAGTTAAAAATAGTCAATCGACCAACTTTTAAGGAAGAACCACAAGGACAACAACAGAATTTTTATTCACAGGCCAATCAGCTGAATCTCAAAGATCATTTTCGTATTTAGGAAGTGATTCCTATAACAGAAAAAAAATTTCGGCTATCAAGCCGAAACCCGTTTAGGGGAGTGATAATAATAATCAAAATCGGTACGACGGTTGTTGTCTTTTTTCTTTTTTTTGGTATAAAAAATGTTAATCGTTGTAGTTTTTTATTGTTGCACTAATTTAGGTCGTTGATATACAGATTGTAATTATCACAAGTACATTAATGTTACAAATAAAAGAAATATTTAAAACAATAAGGGGGCCGGCCCATCTACCGACAAAACACTGAGGCTTTTAAAACAATCATTGCTAAAGTTACTGCTTCCGATGATCAACTTGGGAATTATCTAAATCGTACTATTACACGCGAATTTTATACGACGAATTATCTATCAATAAATACGAAGATGAAACACGACATGATATAATCTAAATGGTTTATTTTACTTTAAAATTGATAATAAAACAACCATATTTGTGGAATTATTAAATTTTTTACGCATATGACACACCTATATAACTAAATATGGAAGATGCAAAAAATTAGGCATTTTACAAATGTAACTGGGTAATGTAACGTAAAATTACGATTCGTAAATATTTCAACTGTGTAATTGTTTTTACTATTAATATAAATATAATAATAACAATTGTGATGATTTTTTTTTTTTTTTAATTCATTTTCTAATTCATTTTCTTTCAGTTAAAAAAAAAAATTTTTTAAAAATGGCAAGTCAACCAATATTTATTAATGCGATAATTTATATAGCAATTTTTATATTATTAGGATATCTTGCCTACGATTTACAACTTGAAATAAGAGAGTTAAGTGTTATCACTCAGGAGATTAAAGTTGAATCAAGAGATTCATTAGTTCCTCCAGCTTTAACTTTTTGTATAACAAAAGATGTAGCTTACAATTTCAACATCACAGTTCAAGGGGTCACAACAAGTAATGATTATTATTTAAAATCATATGAACCTTATTCACCAGAGTTGGCTTATTCTGGACTTAATGTTGCAAGATGTTGGGTACGTAATATAGTAATATATTAATTTGTTGGGGTCTTTCTTTTCTTATTATTGTAGGATTTTTAAAATTTTATTATTATCGATTTCTCTAGATCATGAAATCACCATCAAATACTGCAGTTATACAAGAAAATCCAACAAACCAAAATGTAGAAGATATGGTATTCACATATACAAGAATTTTTGATACATCAGGACCACAAGTTAAAACTCCAGTATTGATTAATGTTTTTGATCCATTGGAAATAGATTCATTGTTTCGGTATAATAGATTTTTAAAGTTAGATCCCGATATTAATAGAGCAATACATTTCAGCAGAACTCAAAATGTTGATATAAACAAAAAAGTAACAAATGATGTAAAATATAATATTATTGATGAATTCCAAGAGATTCAATCAAGCGCCACTAGTTCAACAAATAAAATTACTATTAGAGCTGGTAATTTTTTTAATTGATTAAATTATTAATAATTGACTGATTAATTAATTTTTACTAATTTATTTAAAACAATTTTTAGTTTCATTTGATGTTATTATAGTTAGAGATGTTAAACCATTTAATTTAAATGGACTTTTCAGAAATACTATTACATTAATAAGTTCATTATTTACAGCCTATGTACTTTTAGCGGGTAAAGGTAGATATGCACCATGGGGAGTTGTTCACCATATATTTCGATATTTTCCAGCTGAACATATCGAACCCAAAGATACAGTTACGAACATTGAAGATAAAGTTTTTAATACCGAGGATAAAGCTTTTGGTAGTGAAAAAAAATTAAATGATATTGAAGGAAAATTAAATATTATTGAAACAAAATTAGGTCTTTATTTATCAAGATTTGATGGGGAAAAAAGGAAATTATTCTTTTGTTAAATTCCATTCCCATATTTTTTTCCAACAGTTTTTAATGGTTTATAAAATTTGTATATGTTTTCTTGAAAATTGCTTTAATAATAAATGGAAATTGAAATCTTTTTACTAATATAGATGGTTACAATAATAAACAGAACGTTCATTACAATGACTGAAAAGATGCTGTTAAAGAATTTTCAATTACCGCTGATTGTGGGATTTATTATTTAAAAAGTGCTATTTTTGGGTGATAGGTATTATAATAATTATCATAAAGCCTGATCAATAATATATAAAGAGTTCAAAAAATGAAAATATCTGATTTAACTGAAAGTGAACGTAACCTATTACTTTGCGCAGTTCGTATTGAGTGTGCATACTGTCGGGCCAAGAACATCCATTAAAAGTTGTAAATATATACTAACAATGAAGATACTTTCATTCATCATACTTTACACAACCTACTTAAAAAGATTTTTGGTCATTCATTGTTTGAGTTTGTAATTCAATATTTGACTTAATAGGAAGGCAAACAGCGAAAGTTTATCTTTAAAAAAAGGCATTTCGAACATGGAAAGAGCAATTTAAAGAAAGCTTATCATAAGCTTATAAATTGCGCTGTAATTGTGTGTGTACATTATAAATAATAATCAAACCTTGTGTCTTATTGTGTCTCGATGTTAAACATGAGTATTTTTAATGTGTAAACTGGTCGGTAGAATGATAATTAACCCTAAAAAAACTATTTTACTATTCAACAACCCGTCAAATCAATGGCCCACCTCAAAACCAATGGGTTTTTGCTAGTATAAAGTATTCATAACGTTATGATCATACCGTACTGAATTTTGGGGATCAAACAAAATCAGCTCATATGAGTAGCTAACCATTGTTTCGAATTCTTGCCAGAAATTACAAAATAGACATATCGTGATAATAGTGATAAATTCAATAAAAGATTATATGAAAATTCTGTGCAAAATTTTTAAAAGTCATGATGTTACAGCAAAGAATTCTTAAAACATTGGATGATTTAAAGAAAGAAACTAGCAGTAAGAGCTTTAAGGTGAAGATTGTGTGCGTGATCTACTATCAAGAAATAAGCTGAGTTTGTAGTAAGCGAGCCAAAGGGAACTTGACTAATAAACAATTTGATCCACAAAACAAACTTGAGTTTTTCTTCCAAAGAGAAATATTACTTCGGTTTTTTATTTCCTTCTTTGAAAAAGAATTTTACACACTTGCGATGAAAATAAAAACAATAGAGTTAGTCCTTGTGCTCAACGTTGTATAGGGACGAGTGAGTTCTATGGAAATTATTCAAATCGAGTGGAAAGTAAAAGAGAATAAAGGTGAGTTGGAGCGTTGGCGGAAGAGAAGGAAGAATTAGAAAGATAAAACTTATGCTATTTTACCGTCAACATTATTATCTAACTGATTATTTACGCTTATTTTTCTTTATATGATACATTGTTGTAATTGACTGAGCTTTATTGTGGGAATTTTATGAAAATTAGATCTTTTTAAGATGAGTATATATCGGGAATATGGTTAAGCTATGTTTTTATTAAATAACAATATAATATCAAAAATTTTTATTTATAAATTTGCTATAAACAAAGTCACTCAGCACGATAGTCCATTCTAAAAGAAAACTGATGTTAAATCACCATCATTATTTATTTGTTGCATTTTTCACACACAATTTCATCTTTCATTTTGTTCATTTCGGCCATTATTGATTTTCTCATTTCGACCATTGATTCGTTAATTTTCCTGATTTCTTCGTTTAGAGGTCCATACTTTTGACTTTCATCTATTATTTCATCCTTCTTTTGTTCATAATCTATATAGACACGCAAAAGACATTGAGTCACTGTTGTTGAAATAGCCAGAAAGACACCAGGTGCTGCTTTCTCCTCTGTAAAGAAGGACACTTTTCTTGTTAAAGAGAGAACCAGTATAAATATGCATGCTTTGACAAAGTAAAAATCAATTGGCCATTTTAACACAATAAATAATGTTTACAGAATATTCGGGAGATAAAACCATCCAGGAATAAACAATTTTTGATCCAAAGATCTGTTTCCCTTGACACAAATTAATATAAAAAAAAATGAATATTGTAGCTAAAAATATCTCAAATAATGTAGGAATACTATACTAATTGTATCAAAAAGATGTCTAGTTGTAATAATAAAGTCCAGAATGTTGGAATGACTATCGCTGGGAAAAATATCAAGAAATAAAAGATATTATAAAAGAAAGAGGATCATCTTCAATTGTTTTATTCTTAATTATCGCTCCTACTGCGCAAGTTACATGCAAAGCCATGTTTACAAATGAAAATATCTTTATACTCAGCAAATCATCGTAGGCCAAAGAGACCACCAACGGAATCACCCAAGTGACAGTATTGTATAATAAGTCATCCAGTAATGGTAACATTACATTTTTGATGCGTCCGGTCTACCCTGAAACATTGAACAGAACGACAAACAAAACCGGAAAGAATGTGTTGATAATTGCATCATATACATCCTCTTCAGAGTTATACTCTTCGTCAATAATGAACGCACTCACAAATGGAAGGAGTGAAAGAAACAAGATAAACTTGAATAGAGATCGTTTGAAGGGAAAATAATTGTTCATGTCGAATAATAGGATAAAGTTTCTCTCATAGACTTATTTTATTGATTGATTTTTATAGACAATGTATTCTCAATCAAAAGTATTAATTAATATATATTAATAACTCCGAAATCAAAGAATCATTTCTTTTTTGGACTTGTTTATGTGAACTACTATGAATTAACCAAACTTTATTTTGATTCATTTGGATAAAAAAGGCCATATAATCATATGAGAATGGTGCTTTTTAATTATTTTTTAAAAGGAAACAGCAACAAAGAAGTGTCTAAATGAGGCAAGAAAAAGAAACTGGCAGGTTTATAGAAAAATTTACATTGATTTTTTATCTTTAAACAAGTAGAAGTGTCATCAATTCTGAAGACACACTTAACTAATCATCATCTAAACTTATTTATTGTGATTATTCATAATGCATTAATTATGAATATATTTATATATTTTTATTATATCATTTTTTATCATTATTAAATTTTTGCTATATATAATGATGTATGTAATATAGTAAAATAAATAAATGTATACTGTTAGTGATGAAATCACCCGGCACAATAGTAACTGACCTTTCTAAATGAAAACTGGTGTTTATTAACTATTGTGGTTTATCTATTTGCTACCTTTTTCACACAATTTCATCAATATGTCTTGATTTTTCCATTCTGTCTATCCTTTCAGCCATTGATTTGTTCATTTCGGCTATTGATTTGTTCATTTCTTCCTTTAGAGTTTCATACTTTTGACTTTCATTCTTTTGAATTTCTTTCATTTCGTTCATTGATTTTTTCATTTCCCTGATTTCTTCCTTTTCAGCCATTGATTTGCTCATTTCCCTGATTTTTTCCTTTAGAGTTTCACTTTCATTTATTATTCGCTTTTCTTCTTCACCCCCTAGCACTGTATCCATAAATACGCGCATTCTAACTTGAGTGTATGTTGTTGAAGTAGCCAGAAAGTCATCAGGTGCTGGTTTCTCCTCTGTAAAGAAGGAGACATTTCTTGTTAAAGAGAGAACCAGTATAAATATGCATACCTTGACAAAATAAAAATCGATTGGCCATTTTAACACAATAAATAATGTTTGCAGAATATTCGGGAGATAAAACCATCCAGGATAAAATAATATTATAACAAACTTCTGATACAATGCTTTCTTAAATATTTCTGCTGTGCCACAACACACTGTAAGACAATCTAGGTATAAACAAAAGAATATTGTAGCTAACAATATCCCAAATGATGATACGTCAACCAAAGACTCTCATATTTTACCAAAGGACGTGATAGGCGATTCACGAATCTACTGTAGTTTGCAAGTGATGACTTAACAGAAATTAATAAAGAAAGATACCCAAATCGAATATTTTGCCACTTGACGTCACTACAGCAGTTCCAAATTTAATAGAGAAAGGATGGCGAGGATTAGGATGCAGGCGAGCACAAGGGAGACACACTGAAATTAATTGAAGTTATTGTCCAAGTTTCTTAAATGACTATTATATTAACGTTATTAAATCATGAAATTTTGGTAGTAGAGCCAGCAAGAAGAGCATCAGAAATTGCACTTGAAGGAAAGGTAATGAATTCAAAGAGCACTTAAGAAATTACATCCGAAAAATGAAACTCAACAACAATATAAATCATGATAAAAGGAACCCTCACTGGTTAAATCTTTAAATTATAAATTTATTGGTTTGGTTTTTCATAAAATGATATTTTAATATCAACTGACAAAAATGGAGATGAAAGAATTAGCCAAATTTATTCATGATTAAAAATTACTTTATTGAATGGATTCCTTTTAATGAATTCAGGTATTTTCAAGAAATCAGACTTGCACGCAGTTGAAAATTGTTACAAATTCAAGAAAAAAAGGAAAAATATCTTTTCTTAGAAGTTAAAAAATTTAAGGATTTTATATATTGAACAAGAAGAAAAGAAATCAACATCGCTAAAAAAAAATTATAAAGTAAATTCAATAATAATGTTTCAATTGAGACTTTTAAAAGAACTTTGCATGAATTAAAGATTAATTTTTCCCGATGCACTTGTATTACGCATATTATGTTTATTAAATTTATATTTTATGAATTAAAGATTTTGTTTATTAGAATTCAATCACGCGATCGTCCTTTGTGGATTTTTTAATTAAAATTTAAATTAATTTACTTCGTGCATAATTATGGTCTACCGTTACATCTTCCCGCTGAATTTTACAAAGAAATATTTGTCTTTGCTATTATGAATATATTATCTATAAAATAAGTCTCATGAGAGAAAATTTCCCCATTACTCAATATGAACAATTATTTTCTCTCGAATTTTATTTTGTGGAAAATCACTTTATTTTCATTCATTCCGCTTGCGAATACACTCATTATTGACGAAGAGTATAACTCTGAAGAGGATGTGTACGATGCAATGCTCAACACGTTATTTCCAGTTTTTTTTGTTCTTCTATTCAAAGTTTCAGGAAAGACTGGACCCATCAAAAATGTGATGTTACCATTACTGGATGACTTATTATACAACACTGTCACTTGGGTGATTCCGCTGGTAGTCTCTTTGGCCTACGATGATTTGCTGAGTATAAAGATATTTTCATTTGTAAACATGGCTTTGCATGTAACTTGCGCAGTAGGAGCGATAATTAGGAATAAAACAATTGAAGGTACACCTGATTCTTTTGGATATATCTATTTATTCTTGGTATTATTCCCAGCGATAGTCATTCCAATATTCTGGATTGTTGTTATTACAACTAGACATCTTTTTGATACAATTAGTTTGATATTCCTTACATCATTTGGGAAAATATGAGAGTCTTTGGTTGACGTATCATCTAGTACGACCTTTGGTAAAGTGCGAAAGACTTTAGTTGATGTATCATGTTTGATTACTTTGTTATTCATGAAATGAAATAAAATTCAATCAATCAACCCTCTCGATTATCAAACAATTCCACTGTGTTTCTTGCCTTTCGCCTGCATCTTTTGGTTTTACCATTTCTGCTTGACATGGATTTTTCATGTTCAACAATTCCTTCTAAAAAATTTCTTATGATATTGGACAACCTTTTCATGTTCATATTCATGGCCATCATAATAAATGCCTAAATGATATCTTTGATATGAACACCCTGAAATATAAGTAATTATAAATGATCAAAAATTTATCCCAATCTAAATTAATTCATTTAAATATGTAACAAGACTTATTGATTGAAGCTTTTATCTTTGATTTCTTCATTAAGCTCTTCCATTATTTTTACGCTTTCTTGTAACCAATCACATCGTCAATAATGGTCCAAGTTTTTCAAAAAATAGACTATTATTAAAGTCACGCGTATTGAAATTTTATTGTAATTTGATTGGATAATTTCCAATATGTAATAGTCGAATTTTTTACCAACACGTTATTATTATTATTATTATACAGTATTTTCGGGGCCAAATATCTAATCATTCAAAAAAAAAAATTAAACTAATCATCTGACCCTTAGGATATGATGCAATGAAAATTCAGAGTGGGGCATTGGGCTCTGAAAATCAAGTTTTTGGATTTTGCATCTGAGTTGAAACCTCTCCTACGTTCAGATACTTTGTCACTATGAAACAGATGATTACTGACATCAAACAGAAATTCACCAAAAATACATGAGTTAATCACTGACAATCTTTGTAATGATTATTAATTCATTTTCCTAATTTTTCTTTTCTCTTGATCAATTTTTATCTTAATAAACTTATCAACAGATAAATGAAATCTATTGCATCAGTCCTCATTTCATCTTGAATACAAATAAATGGATTTTGCAGCATGAGAAAAATTTAAATATGTCAAATTAATTCATTAGGTTTTTTTTTTTGTTAATAAATCTAATTCTACATTTAAAT